GAAATAGTATATTTATATTCAGCAATTTCTCCTTGGAATTTTTGAGTTCACCTACAGACTGGAAAGATGTGGAACAGTGATTCTTCAATGAGCCAGGTCTTCTGCAAGATATTCTGAGTGTAAAGATGGTCAGAATGTAAGAAAATATGAATATTCTGTCAGGACGTATTGTTTAAAACCGAACTTTGGAACAATCAGACTTATTCTGTCAAGTTACTCTAAAAAAAGGCATTCAAATCAGCTTTAAAAATTTCAACAATAGTGTGAAATGTAAGTACACAGTATGGAAAAAATATGCAAAACATTCAAAAGATAAAACTAGAGAAAATTACAGTAAAAATGAGGAAGGACCTATTTGAATTTGTCCATATTACTTTAGTGAAATACTCAAGTCAGTTCTAAGCTTTTGGATCTTTCAGCATAAGAAAATACATAAAAAAAACCTCTAAGTTTATCTCTAAATTTTTAAACTGCAAAATCTAAGTGAAAAAAAGCTGAAAAGAAAATCTTTTAAACTGAAGGTGGAAATCAACACTTCTTTGAGGAATATTTAGGAATTCTTACATAGTAATTTCCACATTAAATGCAATTAAGAAGGTCTTAATTATTGAAAAAATGCCTAATGCCCAAATTAAACATCATCCTACTTCACCCTCAATACTTGGTAAATAAACCAGTAAGCTATGTTATCAGCTACATAATTACCGATTTATACATTAACTTCTCTATTATCTACTACAATAATTTTGTTTTCACAAGTGTTATTCAGAATGCAATGTGTTACATTAAGAGGCACACTGGAAATAAAAGAGATTTAGCTCTTAAAGATACTGAGCATAATCTTAAAGGATGATGCTTGCTACCATGTACCTTAGTAAGATCTTCAACACAAAATTTAACTAAATCTTTGCAATGTTCATCAAATATTTTGAGGTTTGAAATTGACTGTTAGCTTTGCTGGCATTTCCCAGCTAGAGTAGTATAAATACAATTATTCATCACAGAAGTCAGAAAACTAAAACAGATCTGCTCCTGCAATGCTAGAGGACCAAAAACCGAGAGATAGCATGAATACAGATTTTTCAACATTTAATTACATGATGGAAAGTGAAGCAATGACACCAAAGCAGCAAAGTCCTGGGCTATAGCAAGAGAGGACTAGCTCAAATGCAACAGCAGTGGGCAAAGAAACAAACCAAAGAAGCTGCTTACCTTCAGAAGATCCCAGACACACAGGGATCTCTAGACAGATACCCTCACCTCCACTGCCAACCCTTAAAAGAGGTCTAGGAAGGGGGAATCCTGGCTTCACCCCTCATGCTCACTCAGGTACACTGCATGCACCTGAGCTCCCTTGGGTTGGCCCTGCTTTCCCACCAGGTGCTCAATCACTGCTTCAGGCCATGACTTAGCATTTCCACTACAAATTACCTATTTGGAAGAAATGAACTTGATAATTTTTATTTTGTTCTAAAGCAATATTATAGAACGAATAATCAATGGTTGTTATACCTTCATATTACCTATACACACACACACACTGAGCTAAAATTGCAATACTCGAAGTATTTCATAGCTTTCTTAACTTAAAAAGAACACGTTCGTTTGTACAGTAAACATAATTATTAATCTGACATTTTTCTTCACACCTTTTACACGATTATTTTAGAAGCACACTGCCACTATACACAGACCTAAGCACATGCAGGCACAGTATAAATACAACACACATCTTATATCAGTATACCCTAGTATCTCTTTTTGTTGTCTTTTCTTAGCAGAAAGAAGGCAGCATAAAGACACTGTTCTCTTATGCTTCCAGGACAAGTTACCATAATGACAAATAACAAGTATTATTGGTAGTAGATTTTATAATTAGTCTTCAATTTATAACTAGTTTACAAAGAGTTATCAATTTTTAATAGGTTCTGTGCAACATACTAATATACACTACAAATAATTCTAACAGATCCACGTCGGCAAGACATGAAAACTTTTGAATTCTAGATCATATTACAGATTCTGTCATTTACTGAAATGCTACTCAGTGCATTAGACCTTTTAACAGTAATACAAATCTAGTAACTGAAACCATCTTTGCTGCATTAAGTAGTGAGGTTCTGCCAGCATGTATGCCCTCTAGAACAATTCTCTGACTAGCACTATCAAGACAACCCTGTCACTCACTGTCACAGCAGTCACACTGACTGGCATAGCCTCAGCTGGATGCCTGTGCCTGCTCTTCATGCATTAGAGGCTCTATCTTGTAACTTGCACTGCCCACGCAAGTGATGTCTTGCTCACAGGATGGCTTACATTGAAGAGGATCTTGAAGTTCACCTATTCCAGCCCCCTTGACATGGGCATGATTGCCAATCACCAGATCAGGCTGCACAAGATTCCATCCAACCTGGCCTTCTGTGCCTCCTGAGATGGGGCATCAACCACTTCAGACAACCTTTTCCAGCACCTCACCATCCTCTGAGTAAAACATGTCTAACCTAAATCTCCCCTCTTCTAGTTTAAAACCATTCCCCTTTGTCCTATCGCTATCAGAGAGTGTAAAAACCTCAGTCCTGCTTGTAAGCTCCCTTCAAGTACCAGAAGGCCATAATAATGTCTCCCCAGAGCCTTCTCTTCTCCAAGTTAAACAAGCCCAATTTCCTTAGTCTTTCTTCATAGGAGAGCTCTTGGATCATTGCGGCCCTCCTGCGGACCCAATCCTACAGTGGGACACAGTTGCATGCTTTAGGACAATCCCAAATAGATGTCTACCAGAAAACACATCTGCTAGAGACACTGGCTAGCCACACTCAAGTTCAAGGAACACATTAGTTAGTTGTGGTCTATTACACCCAGTTTAAAGTAGCCTGAGGCTAACACAACCTTAGGAAAGGCTGTTATAGAAAAAGATATACAGAGTTACATTGAGATTTAAACTGTATGACTCCCTTGGCCTTTCCTTTATTTCTGGAGTTCTCCTGCTTCCAAGGCTGGATACAGATGCTGACACTAAATTGCCCCATGTGAATGGGCAGTATTCTGAATGCCTACATTCAAACATCACTGGAAAAACCAAGGCATATCCAATATCCTAACTGCACATGAATGCAAAATATACTAGGCTTTAAAATAACTTAACCTGATTGGATTTAGATGACATTTGCGAAATGGTTATTCAATTCCTGCAAGTCCAATAAGGCACAAGATGCAGTAGAGCCTGTGAGGAGCTGTAGATACTGATCAGCTAGCTGAACAGCCATGCGTGTAGCTGACTGAGAAACTCAGTCTAAAAATACCAGTATCAAGAATCAAATGAATGCTTTTTTGTATCTCAAGAACAAAGCACCAGTTCAGAATAACAGAGCTATTTATGGGGCTATGAAATAACACGCATCACATGGTGGATGCTCTTTAATTTCACAGATGTGATTTTATTACATTACAGCCATCATAACTCATATGTATTATAATGTACAGAACAGAACTAAATCAAAGTCCATAGAGATTTCATCATGTTTTATAATTATAAAGCACTATAAGCTTACATTAAGATGAAAAACATTAGTTATGGTCAATATTAATAGGCAGCTGCATATTAAAGCAACAATGATATTTATGGCATCAATTAAAGGGTTCAAAGAACTACCAGCAAAAAAGATATCCTCAGTGCTAAAGTACCAAAGAGCCAGTGATAAGCAATACCAGAAACTAAGTGTGTACACTACCGTGGTCACTCCACACTCCTTCGTCCCCCTGGCAAGTTCATTAAGTACTTTAATTTGTAAACCTTGAAAATAGCTTTTATGAAGAACTATTGGCACATCAAAAGCAACATTTTCTTTATATTTGAGCAAAAACAGACTAAAAAGCCCCCCTGGGAAACCTCCTTTGAAAAAGAACAAAACCACTAGTGAGATGTTTTCCAGACCAATCTATCACAGAGGAGTGAATGCCTACCACAGTCTAATACCACTTTCTTATCCTGATTTAAGCAGCAATAATCTTTGTAAGAGACAGAAATACACTATAATAATACAAGAGAATAAAAAAGAGCATTTAAGGACTCAATTTTAACAGCACCTCTGGACACTAAATGGAAAAAAAATACACAATGGAGCTTCAGTTTAAAAATCAATATGAAACCCATATTTCTGTGAAAATACTAGTATTCTTCAGAACTCTATTTTGTCATTATCAACACAAATGCTCATACACAAAGTAGTATGAAAGGAAAAGTTTGGGGTTTTTCTGGGTCATTTTCATCTCCAACTAATACTAAACGCATTTTAGAAAGCATCATTTCTATCAGCTGCCTAGGGTCACTTTCTGTCTAGCTTAAGTGGAAGAGTATGACTTCAGTATATTAGCAAAAAAAAAAAAACAGTAAATCTTGAGACTGCGCAAATACGTTATGTTCACCTCTGTACTGAAATAGAAAAACCTACAGTTTCTTTCCCTCCAAATACAACGAGCTAGAGCGAATTTAATTTCACAAGTTCAATATCGTTCAGAAAAATTCACAAGTTCATGCCACTGTATTCATAGAAGGCAGGGACCGTCCAGCTGGATTTTGACTTTTAATGTATCTAACCTGTCAGTGGGTTGGTACACGATCCTCTCTGCTTTTTATCTGCAGACAGTACCAACTGTGGTGTTAAACTTTAGATTCACCTGTTTTATCTTTCAGCTCTAGAGGCTTCCTTTTCAGTCCCAAGTTAGTTGGAGAAAAAAAAAATGTTATTTTCCCATTCAATACAATGGTAGTCCTACAGCTATTGGCCCCAACTAGAAACTACTAAGTTTACTTCAGTTCTCAAATACTGCAGGTTGTCAAAATGCAAGCTATCAACATCAGCATTTTTCTTTGTTATTCATTTGTTTAGCCCAACCCTCATGCTATCAACTGAGGCAAAACGAATCACTCAATCAGCCCCTGAATTCAGAAGTGCCACCCATCCTTTACTTCATCACCCAGAAAAAAGCATAAACAAACCAACCTGTTTAGCCAGCTGATCCTTCTTCACCAAGCCAGTGGCTGCAGCAATATTCCCTGCTCCTTCCACTGTCTTCTGGGCCACTGCCGTCACCCCTGTCACCACAGCTCCCCCAACATTGGATACCTGCTCTTTGGTCTTCTCAGCCACTAAGGATAAACAGAAGATGGAAAAACATTACAGATTTTGGAACTGGAGGTTACTGAGCTTTTCAGAGTCATATTTATCACTGGCAGCCCAATGTCATGAAAGGGCCTCAAGTGGATCTTCAGTAATGAAGATTACTTCAGTTAATCTGATCACAGTGGAGCAGGAAAGGTAAAAGCAAGCCTCATCTGTGGCCCTTATTACACCCAACACACAGTGTAATACCTAATTAGTGCACTCCATATAGCACAAACACCCTGCTGCATGTTACTTGGCATGGAAGACTCTTATTTTAAATCTTAGACTCAAAAGCTTTTGATCACTTCTCTTTTTTAAAATACATGATTAATAATCAAAGCTTCTACTGCTTGACCAGAGCATTTCTAATACAGCATTTTACCTGATTTGCTGAGATTTCTGCCTCACTGCTGATCCTTCCATCCATAACATACAAACTACAAAAAGATTGAATGCCAAAAATGCCTAAGCAAACTGGATTAGTAACTAATTTCAAAGCCTTAGGGAAACAAACTCATTTAGCCTACATATACATCAGCGGCCAACATTCTACCTTTCAGAGTATTAATGGATTCTTTCTGCTCATTCATTCCCAAGGGCTCTTTTCCCTTGCAGCAACTTGCATTCCAGTGAAACCCCTCTAAGAGTAAAGAGATGAGGTGAACTCATGCCTTCAAGTCACAGGATCAGATATTCAGAAAAAAGAGCACTTAAGAAAACAAGGGAATAGTCTTCAAGAATATCCAGCACATAGCTTCGTTACTCTAACTAATTCTGTATTTTCTCCAATCAAAATTCCATCTGACCCATAAAATGCATTCATAACTCTTACCGCATTCCTTATGAGCACAGGCTTGATATACAGGCTAACCTTTCAGAAATTTTTTGAAGTATATACAAAGAAATGATTTTTTGCAGATAAACTTGAATTCTTTAACAGCTTACAAAAAAATCAGCTTTATATAGCAGAGGGGATGCTGCATAGATTGTCATGATTGATATTAAGTAATAGCAAAGTCTATAAAGGTAGTAAAATCTCATACCAAGTACAATGTTTAAAGACCTGAACAATAGATATCCACTGACAAGGCAAATGATTTAATGCTTATTCTAACCAGCTTTGTGTGAGGAAAAAAATATACACAATTAAAACAGCGAAGATTTCAAGGCATCCAAAGCTGCTGACAAACTCCTAACCTGTTATTTTTCATAATAGCTTAACACCTGGTACAAAACCAGTAAGCTGGTTCTTTAGAAAAATACTGTCATTCAGAAACTAGAGCCACTGACATAAATGAAACTATACACACAGCACAGATTTGTAAGCGTGCTAGTAGGAAAGGTTCTTTTTTCAGTTTCTAAAGAACACAAACACTATCAACATTCCTATTACCAGAACGATTCTGTAAATAAGCTCTAACTTCATAAGCCTTCAGCTATGTAACTCTAGTGACATGTGGAAAACAACAAAATAGGCTTCCAGTATTACCTTTTTTTTTTTGCTTACACTAAGTAGTAACGAGGGACAAGCATTAAGTGCATATTAATTTATTCTGAATGCAGCGGTCATACCAACTAACAAAATTAATCTGAACACCAGGTTGTTAAATGACTTTAAGCTGTTAAGTCTTTAACAAATTGATATCTGCTTTGCATCACAGTGCTGAGAGAGTAAATTGGTTTCTGTAGAGCTCTACTGTGCTGTGGCCTGATTACTTGTGACCACCTGTGGAATAAGGGATCCTGGAATGAGATATAATAGCCACATCAAGGCTAACATTGAAATGGAAGTTCTAGTGCTGACTACAACGTTCTACCAAAAGTAGTAGTGTTGAAGGTTTTGTTTCCCCTCATCATAGACAACTGGGTAATCAAGTTACAATATTCAGAACAATTCAAAATGAGAACTTGCTCTTTTCTATTTTGATCATCACTAGTAGGTGAAAGCCACACAATTCCTCTAAATCAGAGACATTAATTCTTACTAAATATACTTTCAAATACGTATTTCAGACAATAAGATTGCCCTACGTACTTGAAAAATTCATTTATGAAGAAGCCATGAGTAAATTGTGGGTTTTTCAGTTGATACATTTACTCTAAGATACCTGACAATTAAAATGAATGCAACTGGAATACCAGTGACTACGAATATAAAGAAGCAACCCAATATGAACAGTTAAATAAAAGAATTAGGCAAAAAAAATAGACCACAATTGATAACTGCTAAAATTGTCTCACTTCAGGAAACTGACATCTGCTAGTAGTACTGAGGCAGAGGACTTTCTGGCCTTGAGCTTTTTTACAAACCAGGGCTTTACTTGGACTACTAGGACAGTCTGTAAACATCCCATCTTGGATGCTGCACATCTCCATGCACTTGTTCTTGGGAGATGAGTAAGATGCACATGTTACTACACATTTAGAATCAAAGGACTATAAACATGTCAATTAAGCAGGCAAGTGAGATACACAAGCTAGTACCCCCATAAGATCAATAAGCAACACTACTTTTTCTCTCGAAGTCTTGAGAAAGGGTGACCTGACAAATAACAAGTCCGCAGCATTCCTATTCTGCAATATCTTGAAGTGGCTAAAGCTGGAAAAAATCAGGTCATGCTTTAAAGCAGGAAACTCCTTAAACCTTGTTAATTTCTGGGTTTGGAAAGCCACTAACTGAAAAGGTTATTTCATTGATCAGCACTCTGAGGATTATCAGTGTCTTCACCAGAGGGTTTTACATAATCAAAAATAGGAAAACTAGCAAGACCTTGGAGCTCAAATAGCAGGAAAGAACTAACTGAAAACAGTTTCATTTGGATCTGTGATTCTATTTCACATTCAAATGTCTCTAGCCTCTTGAATCATTTCTTTTTTTTCCAGAAAATGTGTTAATGCATCTCGAGTTTCACATCAACATCCTAGCACATATTAAGATCACCAGAACTGGCAAAATCCTAGTCCTACGGGGAAAAAAAAGACAAGTAGTCCTTTAGAAGTACCAGCATTATCACTGCAAATTTCACGTATTTAACAGATTTGATTTCTAGAATACCTTCACTAACATTTTTCAGAGCATCTTTACTTTATATCTCTGAAAAATCAATCCTGTGAATCCAGATCTGTTTTCATCTCCCCTCTTCTACCTCCCAGAACAGCACCTCATAAGTTTGTTTTATTCTATTGCTCCTCCCCTCCATGTCCAAGCAATTCCTCTGTTTTTGTACTACCAAGTCCATACTGCTCCATTTTAGAAATTATGTTCTCAGGATTTTACATTAGCTCCTCTCTTCTGTCCTCTGCACGCCCTCTGTCCATTTTTCATTGTTATTCAACAGTCAAACTCCTGCCAACCAGCTGAAATGAGTCAGTATTACACCAACTGTGGCACAGTAACCATTATTCTCAAGCTATGAGTTACTCATTTCATAAAGTGGATGAGGAACTTTGTCTAAAATTCCCAGTAATATCGTTGAACATTGTACTTACAGGCACGGCACAGAACAGATGTGTTCTCTCTGTTTTGATTTATAGTCTGTTATATATCACGCAGAACAAAATTTAATATATCTTCAAATCTGTCAAAAATCTGTTCTCTTAGTTTAAATTTCCTGTCTCACTATATATATTATATCTGATAAAGATGGAGGGAAAGGAATCTCCCACTAAGCTAGCCTACTACAGAAGATCATTGCTTCAACAAGTTTCTCAAAGCCCAGCTCAGTAAAAAAAAAAAAAAATTAACTGTTAACTTGCGTGCAAGAGTTATCTGTTGTTCCCACATCTGTGATCAAATGGGATATACATGCCCCAAACCTTATTCTACTGCACTACTGCAATCCTCTATTGGTTACAGTAATTATCCTACCGAATATTTCCCTTAATTTAGGTCTAACAAGCAGAAATTTGAAGCCTCATAACAAGAACATAAATCTATTTAGCCCGCAGCTTAGTTCTGAAGGCCTGTCAGAGATGTTCTCATCAACTGTGCTCCTAAATATACACTTGGTTTACTTCTCCAACATTTGAGTTGTGATATTTCCTGTCAAGTAAAGTCTAACAGTTTATTCTTTGCATTAATCTGTATAAGCACAGATCAGTGATAACCTGGCTATGCAAAAAGTAAAAGAAAAAAAATTCTTTCCTACTCCCATTTTCATTTGCATTGTTTTTTTTTTTTTTTTTTTTGGAAGAAAAATGCTGCACGTTTCTTGACTGAACATTTTCTTCAAATCTCCACAAGTCTAGTATTTTGCAGAATAAAATTACACATTCTACTCAATGCATTACGGTCAGCTCAAGTTCTCCTGCACTTCATATACATACAATATCTCCATTCATTCTGCCACCTACTAGTTGCTTCAAATTATTGGTTTCTGGTTTCAATTTGTATAATAGATGATCCCTGTAAATCACTTTGAAATGCAAATTCATTCCTTTTCAGTGTAGAAGTACGCATGTAAAGATACATGGCTAGCAATAACTTCAGCATTTGAAAGTACTGTTGCAACAGAGAGATTATGCAGTTAAAAATATTTGAACATCTTCCAATCCATGACAAATTCAAATGAGTTGAACAAAACTCTGAAACATGTTTCATTCCTATAAGCTATTTCCCTCCTATCTTCCCACTCAGCCAGCTCCTGGGAGACATATTGATGAGTCACAACCATCTTTTAGGAGTGGAGGGAGTGATGGGGCACACCCATACTGTTGTTGCAGTAAGACCTAATCTAAGAAGTCACTACCTGTAGTGGAGTGTTGAAAACAGTTCTCAGACAAGGATGAAGAACCAGTATGAACACCAATAACCAGGTATTAAGTTTGTGGGATTTTTTTTTTTTCAGGCACAGACTGTCACAGTACAGCTATGCTCTACACTATAGCTACACTTAAGTATACTGGAGGCAACCAGCTTAATGGATGGATATAATCACACAGACTGCAATTAGCAGCAATGACTGCTGCAGAGCTAAGTTGACAACTACATAAGAGAAACCCCCATTTTGCATCATGGCTTTAATTGTGATTTATCAAAAAGACTTTTGCACAGACAAACTGATGGCGCCACTGCTGGCCTTAACTGCAAACCCTCCCAGCGATTTCTCTTTTCTACCCAGCTCTTACCGTCCCTGCTGTATAAAGGAGGTTTCTTCTACATTATTTGCCTCCTTCATCAGTTGCATTAATTCCTTATCTACTATAGTAGCATACATCCTATCTGACTCCACAGCGTCCTAAATCAGCAGATAAATGTCCTTCAAACTTATGCCCAAGTCCTTCCCTACCGTACCTTCCCTATCACTCCCGTTCAGTGTTATTTCTCTTCTCCACTCCCACCTCCAATCCCACTACTCTTCCTCCTCAAATAACAAGCAAACAGAATTGGACAAACACACCAGGCTTCCAAAAATTCTTCACTAGAAAACTAAAGCTTTTTTATTTTCAATGTCACCATGCTTGTAACTTCCCTACATAGAATATTTTGGCAATAAACAAAGAACAAAAAAGAAATAACTTTGGTATACTTCTACAAACACAAGCTATTTCCTTCTCTTTGAAATCTGGTTTCACTAGCCCTCCAGCTCACACTGGTATAACTTGACTTTGATTCAGAATACTGCTTAGAAAATCCTCCTCACATACAATGATATTAAACTTAAATATTTCACTGTAAAACATAAAACTTTATGCAGTTTACATCAACATTTCTTTACACTTCTCAAATTTTCCACATTTTACCATCCCTCAGAAGCTTGAGCATTCAAAGAAATAAAAAAATTTAATAGAGAGAGAAAAATTTAATTAATCAAGAAATTAAGAGAATTGACTTACCCGTTGTGACACCATGAACAACTCCTTCCTTGGTCCTGGAACCTAAACAATGAACAATATTTAGTTGAAAATACTTGCTCTTATATACTGGTAAAGACAAGATGGATAAGATGGATAATAAGGTAGAATGAATAGATAGAATACATACTATTGCGCAGTTTCCAAATTAACTGAACAGAAATTCCATCTAAGGGAAAGGCTGAAACTGTCAACTGAAAGCAACTATTTGAACTATAAAAAAAATGATAATACTGCAAGCACTTCTGCAGTTAATTCCTTGTACTTACTGACTTTCTTGCCATTGTCTTAACAGTCATGTTAATTAAGTCTGCCACTCCACAAACTCACAGGGACAGCTGCACAGAAGTCATTAGGATGTTAATAGTAAGATGAAACTCATGCATGCATTTTCCAAAGATCAGACCCCAAGTTCCCAAAAGATCCTTATAACCTCTAACAACTCTTGTTCAAATCTTGGTTTCTAGGGAATTAACAAGCTTTACTGAGCCTACAGAAAGACTTAGTAGATAAATTCACTGGGAACTTTTAGAATGGCTAGATTTAGACAAAGAGTAATCTGAAAGGGAAACATTAGGTAGCAGTCAGCACTTAAACATAAAAATGTCCACGGAGTCAAAATCAAGGCTCGCCTAATCCACTGCACTGCTTATCACTGACAAGAATAATCAACAAAGGTTCTGCAAACAGAAACCTTAAGCTTGCGCAGCACTGAGAAATATTATAAGACCTGCTTAAACAATTTAACTTGGCACCCTGAAGACCAAGCAGAGTTCTGGAATGCCCATGTAAAAATACCATGATGACGACTTCTTTTTTTTACTACCAAAAAATATACATCATTATTTTTGTGTTCACACGTCACTCAGTATTTCAGATTTTATGATTAGTATTTGACTCACCACTTCTAATACCTATGTAATTTCAGCATATCACTATATACAAATATAAACACGAAGTGATACTAGCAGAAACACATAAGATAACGGTAATCAGCAGAAATACATTAGAAGAAAGCAACTTTTCTCATAATTCTTGAAAGTAATGTAAATACACACTGGAATAACATGAAAACCTCATTCAAGCATACTGTTCACTGCTAGTGCCAATTTGTAGAGTTTACACCATGAATTTATGGCACTACTGGATTGATTACAGCATTGAAAAGGCTCTTATATATGAGCAAGAGCATTATTCCATTACAAAATTAAATAACATTGTTGCATCAAGTAAAATGACTTCCTCTTCCTTTAGACAATAAAACAAATTAAACAGCTGAGAAACCTTCCTTTACTTTGATTTTCTCTTCCAAAATAAGCAGTTTTCTCTCAGTGAAAACATTTACTATTGGAAGAAGTATTCATTTCGGTGAATCCAAGGTGCTAATATTTAAAGACCTGTTCTAGGACTTCAATTCTCAATCTTGCATCACCACGAGCACTGAACAGTACTAAAAACACACGTGGAATTTAAGCAATGACTCGTTCTACTGTCTGGTACAAAGAGACTAAACACCATTTTAGTCTTACAGGAAATCTATTTGAACATTTAACATTAACAACATACTTTTAAATTCATTTGTAGACCTGACCAAAATATCATTCATCTTGCTGAAGTTACTGTCCGTAATCCGAGCCATTAGCAAAAGCAAACCTGTGAATAACAAGTATGCAGTTCCCTAGAGCTGAGAAGGATGAAGGTGAGAGATAGATGGTATGACAGAACTCCCTGGGGACCTCTATAATGCACTTATCTTCAGAGGAACATCCACAGACTGATTCTTAACTCACTTAACTCTGCTATAAGCACAGCTAGTCTAGAAATGCCAGATCTTTCTGCTGCCAGATTTTTCTTCAGCAAATGCACAACTTGCTGACCTGTACAGAACAAACACATTTGTGAAAATAATCAGCTAAGCTTTAGTTCAGAACTTACAGTATACATTAGAGCTAAACACTCAACTCTCACATACTTCAACACTCAACCCCTCATACTTCAGAGGGGACCTGATCCAGGTCTATAAATATCTAAGGTGTGGGGGGCAGAATGGCGAGGCCGGACTCTTTTCAGTGGTGAGTGGAGACAGAACAAGGGGAAACGGCCGGAAACTGCAGCATAGGAAGTTCCGCACAAATGTGCGAAGGAACTTCTTTACAGTGAGGTGACGGAGCACTGGAACAGGCTGCCCAGGCAGGTCTTGAACATCTCCAGAGAAGGAGACTCCACCACCTCCCTGGGCAGCCTGTTCC